TAAAGACCTTGATTGAAAGTGTGTGTGCTTCAGTATTGTGATTTATATATATATATATATTCTTAAGTAAAAGACAGATTATTTTGGAACCACCAGCCTCGACTCTTTTACTGGTAAATCCTTGGGGTGGACTGGACCTTGGTATAGCTGGCAAAAGCAACCCAGAGTAAGATATGCCAACTGTTGTAGATAAAGCAGTTCGGCTAACACAACCATCAACCTACCATTATCTGCCCCTGATCTCTACCATCTGGAGAGCAGTTTTAATTCTGAGTGATCTCCAGCCCTCACCTGGAGATTGGCAGCAATGATTCCCCAGGAGGAAAAGTACAGTCTTTCTCCACAGTGGAGACCAAAGCAGATTACATAATTCTCCTCTCCCCCTTTTGATCTGCACAACAACCCTGTGAGGTAGGTTAGGCTGAACAAGCTAAACATGAGTTTACAGTGCGATGTGACTGCAAAGAAAGCTAATGCAATCTTAGGATGCATTAACAGAAACATTGTGTCCAGATCACAGGAGGTGGTAGTACCACTCTATTCTGCTATGGTCATGCCTCACCTGGAGTACTGTGTCCAGTTTTGGGCACCACATTTTAGGAAGGATGTTGACAAGCTCGAGCGTGTCCGGAAAAGGGCAACCAGGATGGTGAGAAGGTTGGAATCCAAGTCTTATGAAGAAAGGTTGAAAGAGTTGGGTATGTTTAGCCTGGGAAAGAGAAGGCTTAGAGGGGACATGATTGCAGTCTTCAAATATTTGAAGGGCTGTCGTGTAAAAGATGGAGCTGATCTTAAAAGATGGAGCGGATCTATTCTCTCTTGCTCTGGATTGCAAGACTAGATCTAATGGGTGGAAATTACAAGGGAGTTTTTACCGGCTAAATATCAGGAGAAACTTCCTAACTGTAAGAGTGGTTGAGCAGTGGAAAAGTCTGCCTCGGCAGGTGGTGGGTGCTCCTTCGCTGGACGTTTTCAAGCGGAGGCTGGACAACCTTCTTTCGGGTATGTTGTAGGTATGTAGGGCTATCTTTCAGCTATGCTCCTGCAGAGTGCAGGGGGTTGGACTAGATGACCTGCAAGATCCCTTCCAACTCTAACATTCTATGATTCTGTGATTCTATACCTAGACTCCAAGGGG